ATATATATATATATATATATATATAGCTTGTTTGCACGGCAGCCGATGGTATATTGCTAATAGAATCTTTCCAGTTATTTAAAGCCAAATAATTCCACACCGAGCTCATACGTCAGTTTTTTTCATGTAACAAAACAGAGCTGCATTGCGATGTTGGGTGCTAGGTGTGACGACTTTATGTTTTTTATTTATTTATTTTTAAAATAACTTAATTTATTTGATCTTATTATGAAACATCTTAATTATAGCATATTTTTATTTTTATTAAACGTTATGTAAATCAATATATGATAATGCTTGAGACATACATAGCACTCAAAATTTTAATATTACATCAACAATACCATTTTTATCAACTTTTAAAATGTGAAACATATTTTCTAGCATAGAATTATAACACTAAAATGTTATAATTGTAGATATCAAATTTTAGGTGTTAGATATGTAAATACATAAAATTATGTGGTACATATGTAGACTTTTTTAAAAATATATTTGGTTAAGTCTATGTCAAATAGACCAGCTAATAATAAAAAGAAAATACTGTTAGAATGCAATTGATGATTTTAATAGATGAATCATAAGTTTTCTTAACAATTTACATGCAATATCATCTAACTACATTAAAATTATGATTACAGTAAATATCCCACAATAATTCTGTGCAAGACAGCTACAAATTTTTAGTTTATTTAGCTTCGATTAAAGCATGAAATCCTCTTAAGGTCTACCGAAAATCCCAAATTGCTCGACAGAAAGTCTCCTTCTGCATCCTCATTAAAAAATCAACATACAAACACAAGAATAACTTCAAAGAGATGAGAAATACTTGGCTAATATGTTATTTTTTCTAAATAAAAAACTACGATTAAAATAACCAAAAAATTCTTACTTAATTCTCAGCCACATAAAGAGTAAGGATAAAGTGGTAAGTAAACTAGGCGAGCCACACAAAAAATAAAATAAAACTGGGGGAGCCACCAGCATATGCTGCCACATCTTTACTTACCATCTTATATTATTACAATAAATGGACTAATCTTTATCACTTCAGGAAAGATATTACATCAGGAGTTCCGATGCATGCATCAGGACTCCAATCATAATGTGTCACGTGTATGGTCTGGTCCCACTGAATACAAAAAGCTAAATAGTTTAATGCATGTCGGGGACCGTACATGTGACACATTGTGAATGGAGACCTGATGCAGTTTTGCATCAGTACTCTTAATGTAATATTTTTTTCCTATAGTAAAGGCTTCATTAGCACTATTATATCATAAAAAATTTAAAATAACATATATTTATTAAAATTGAAACAATTAATTTCATACAATATAAATCAAGCACCTTCACTAACCTAAAAATACAAACTAAATAGCTACTATTCATTCTTTGAGTTCTATCAAAAGAATTTCTTTTGAAGAATAAAATTTCAAGCTTTCTACCTATCTTCTCTAAACACCGCCATGGAATAGTCCAATTGGAAACAGACAAACTATACAAAATGTAGATTAATCAAACTACATCTATCTTTACCTTCTTCTCTTGCACTTCATGAGCTCCTACCAAGCAGATTTATCAGAACTCATTGCAGGCTGAAGAATGGCAGGTTTTGCGAACTGTATTGCGATCCATCAGAGATGTTTGGGAAGATAATGGCCTCGTTCTGCTTCTTCAAAGACTGCAGAGTTCCACTGCTTTCTTCTGCGTTACTGTCGGATTGGTGCTTCACACCAAAGAGAACAGCTGATTCTTGTTGTAAGAGCTGTGGATGTAAATAAGCATTGCCACTGCTTTCAGATCTTTGATTTATTATGATTTGGTTTGAATGTGAATGAGCAATGAATGAATTGTTATGAAATCTTGGCAGATTTTGTTGATTATATAAATTATTCAAAGGGAGTGGTGAATAATCTTCAAGGAGAGCTGATATGAATGGAGATTTTGGTGGTTTGATTCCATGGTGCTGATGCAGCAGCTGTTTTTGAGGATTCCGAAAAGAGAAATCTTCTGCAGATGTTCCTTCCTGTTGTTGATCCGCCATTGGGAGCGAGAGGTGGTTTCTCTTTTTGTAGATACGGCAAAGAACCCAATCGTCCAGCTGTGGGCAAAAAAAGAATGTTAGTGATTGGAGAACCATACAGATGTTTCATGCATTGTAGTTGTAAACGTTTCAAGTATTAAAAGTAATTGGTGTAAAAATTGAATCATTAAAAAATCTTCTGATTGATTATGACTGTTCAGTCAAGGACATCATGATTAGAGCATGATCATGTTTAGGTTTGTGTTGTCCCACCAAGTGATCCAAACAAGACACATCCCATGGTCTTAGGGCCTTCATCAATAGATAGAATCTACAAAACTTTTTACACAAAGCATTTTCAATTAAAACTTATTTTTCAGAGCATACCGTATAAAAATTTTCAATCAGCTACAAATTAGAAGCGATATATTAATTTAGCTATTGTTCAGGCAGCATGCTAACATTGATCATTTCAAATAGATATGTCTAAAAATCTTGTATATCAGCTCAATGCATATAATGTGCCAGAAGAACAAAAAATAAGAAGAACAATGCTCCACTCATCCATAAATCAGCCCATTTCCAACAAATAGCTTACGTAGCACGTCATACATAAGATAAGCTTAGCAATTAGGCCGTATTTACTAGCATCCTATTAATTGGATTTCGCCATAGATTTAACTTCAATCGACCAAAAACCAAAAAGGTGAATTAAATCCAACGCTTAGTTAAATGAAATTTATCGTGTTCCTTCTCTAAATATAGAGATCAAGCTTTTTTGCAATGTAAATCCGATCGAGAATCGGACTACAAATTTTATTCTGCTGTCGCTCATGACATTAGTCTCCATCAAGACAATAACCAGATTTACTGGATTTGATAAATCATATTTAACGTATATCCATGTTGCAGCCAAACACCGCATTAAGTAGATGGCGGGCCAACATTAGTTGTTACTAATACATAATTTAGAAATGTTCTTAGATGGAGAAAAAAGGGCATTTCTCAAACTAAAACATAAATCACAAACAGAATTTCATACATTCATAAACAAATCATTTCAACAAATAATAGCAAATCCTTATCTAAAAGAAAAAAATTAAGTAGCAGAAGAGATGATACAGAAATCAAATTTACCCTCATGGAATGATCTCCGAGTTTAACAGGCTTACAGCCGCTACTGTTTTGTGACTCAGCAAGCCTATATTCGTGCATGATCCAATCAGTCTTGAGCCCCTTCGGCGGCTTACCCTTGTAAAAAACAAGCGCCTTCTTCACTCCAATGTTCTCATCCGCAAAGCATATAGGCTTATCTGTTCCCGTCGCCTTCCAGTAACCAGACGCAGCGGCGCGGTTCGGCCGGACGCCGTTGGGATACTTCCGGTCCCTAGGGCTGAAGAAGTACCACTCCCGCTCCCCGAACAGGGCCTTCGCTGCACAGAGGCAATACATAGAACACGTTGTGAGCATCACTTCGGACGAACAAAAAAAAAAAGCTTTAGGGTATATATTTGGATTGTGGGAACTGACCCGGAAGGTCCCATGGATCGAACTTATAGATATCGACCTCTGCGATGATGGAAACGGGTAAAGGCGACGCATCGGCGCGGTTTTTGAGGTAGTGCAAGATGAGCTCGTCGTCTGTGGGATGAAACCGGAAGCCCGGCGGCATCTGCGTGGCGGGGTTTGACATCGCCGGAAGATAACTAGCTTTAATTCGGCGGAGATATGGTTGAAAATCTGAGAAGGAGAGGGAGCGTATTGATACAAGGCAGGGGGAGGAAGAAGAGGAGCTTGAAATTTTCAGGAGAGAAGAGAGGGGGGTGGCTTTATGAATGTGCGGGATTTGTCGCGTGGCGGAGGAGTCGGTTCTTCGGTGAGGATAAGCTTGGAATGGGAAGATCATATGAACTCGAAACTTGTGTTGGGGAAAAAAGTAGGGTTGGTGAATCTTAAATATTCTTCATGCAACTATCTTTGCATGGATTGTAAATTAATCTGGAGAATTTCCTTATCATTAATCTCTTCTTTTTAAGGAAATTTACATACATACCACACAATTCTTATATATTTATATATTTAGCACATATAATTTAATATTTATATTTATGATAGTTTAATATTAGAAAGTTATGCATGAAAAGTTGTGTTTCAATTGTGAGAAGGTAGTGAGCAATATTTTTTTGTTGTGATGTAAAAACTATGAGTGGTTTGTATATAAATATGAAAGTTTAGATATTAAAAATGTAAATTTATAAGAATTATGTAGTATGTATGTACAATGCCCCAATTAAATGTTCTTATGTTTTATTTATTTTATCTAATAATTTTAAGGGATTTTTACCATAGCACATGAAACTTTGATATTCACATATTCAACATCTCAAATTTTATATTTACACGGGCACATTCCCTCTTTGTTAAATTAGTTTCGGTGGCTTTGTATGTCGTGCATGAGTGAAGGGTGAAAGGGGAAGATTCTCTTCGTTTTTTGTTTTCTTTTTTGAGTTTTGCGAAAGAGAGGTGAGGGTGTGTGAATAACTGGGAGACGGAGAGGAGAAATCAAGGAGTGGGCTGGCAGATCGTCGGCTAGGTCTAGCCGGCATGAGATGTGCGGGTCGCCGGTGATGAGATGAAGTTGACTGTAGCTTGGAGGGACTCTGTGAGAGGAAGATTGTATAGTTGAATTCAATCTATCTAACATTTGTCATGGCTTTTATTTTTTTTATTGTATTACCAAATTGTGGCTGCACGGATCTTGATGGAAAAGTGATGAACACAACAAACGAAGTAGGTCCCCGGTCAAGATCGGACTGAACTAGTCGACAAATTAAGCTGGATAATCAAGAAAATTAATGTCAAAATCAAGAGATCATCGCGGAATTCTGCCAAGTTGTTCGCCTATTCGGCAGGCTGCCTAAGATGGAGACCGAACCGGAGACTTCCGAAGAGAAGGTCGAACGAAGGACGTCTTATCATTCAACAGAAAAAACAAACGAATCAAAATCTGTGAAGAAGCCACCGGAACACTCTACTGAGGAACTTTCATACAATCTTCACGTGATTTAGCCCGTGATCTGCAAGCAAACAAGTGCAGGCCGACAAGTAATGAGCATGCCGCCTTCGGTCGGTAATTTCTTATTAGCCTAATGAAATGTACTATGTAAATGACCACAAAGCCCTTGCATTTCTTTACATAGGAAAAGGCCTAAAGGTAATTATGCAACCAAGGCGTCTCCTATAAGAATAAATCAGAGGTCATTTTATGGGAAAAAATTCTAGACACTCATTTTTCACTCTCTCCTTTATCGCTTATTTTATGTGTTCTATTCATTGTGTGTGATTTATGGACACTTTTAGGTTCAACATTTATTAAATTTATGATATTAAAAGACTAAAAGTTAGCGAGTGATATATTTATTAGACTAAATAATTAGCAAAGAAGTTTCTTCTCATGGTTGAAAAAATTAGTACTCCTATAAATAATTTTATGTTATTTTATAAAAAAAATACTCACATATTAGATTGTAGTGAGTTTGTCCACTCCACTACAAGCCAAGTAAATGGGTCTCCAACAAAAATATTTCATATAAAGAGCTCCATTATCCAATGCTTCAAAGGTTATGTTTGCTAAAAAGATTGCTAAATATAGTGTTCGATATACTACTAAAATAAACTCATAAAGGAGTGCTAACATATGGTTATGATGGAGAGATTCGAAAAAACTTTGATTGTACATATCAAACATTTGCTCTTGGTCAGTCCAATATTTCATACATAATTTGAGTGATGCTTATGGGTGTACACAACTCGCCACAATTGTATATGTACAAATGAATTCAATCTTTCTGACAATCCAGTCATTTATTATTTTAAGATTAATTGACCCTTTTGGGTCATAAAAAGACCAATAAGATGTTAAGCCATGATGAGCTTAAAATATTATGAAATGAAGGATTTATTATATATGATGGATTCAAAATATAGGAACATTACATGAGACCTACTATCAAATGAATAATTATTAATTTCTATTGCATATGAAATATTACTTTGGAAGGGCACTCATGGGCGTGGAGGGTGGTACATAGGGGTGCAAACGAGCCGAACACAAACGAGCCCAGGCTCAGCTCGTGTTCGGCTCGTTTATATTTCGAGCTCAAAAAGTGTGTTCATGTTCGGCTCGTTTGCTTAGCAAGCCGAACAC